AACAATTACTATATGCCAGGCTGCTCTGTATGCGTACAAATATTATCTGATTTAGTCTTCATAACTTCCCCATGAAGTAAATACCATCTCTATTCATGGTTTACAGATGAGATGACTGCAACACAGAGAGGTCACAAGCTTACCCAAGGCCACACAGCTAGGAGATGGCAGAGCCAAGAGATTCATATCCCTTATGGCTGGGTTCTAAACCCCTGCTCTTAGTTACACATTTTGTTGCTTCACTTACACCTAGGTCTGTCCAATTAAACTATTCTAGTTTAGAAATACACTTTAATCATAATTATTTTGTCCATATGCTTTAGAATTTCTAGAACTATAGAGCAGAACTTCCTATGTGGCTATGACCCACAATTAGATCATAAACTGCTTAGAGCAAGGATTATGTTCTCATGGTCTCTACTCCTTGTTCCCATCATGGGAACTGACATCCAGCAGAAGATCAGGAAATGTTAGCTAAAATTTTATGCAACATTCACATAATTCTTTGGATCCAATTTATTTATCCTACAATGCATGCAACACATCAACACAATTATAAACACAAGCAAGATCAGTAACACAAGTGAAATTTCTAGAAATATCTATAAGAGAGTTGCTTAATACTCACAGTCAATGATAGACAGAATCAATCTTGTCCAGGTATAACTTTTAAAAGTCACATTTTCATTTAAAAAAATCAGTGAAATTGTGTGAACAAAACAGCATATGGTAAAAGAGAGTTTGTCACAAAGTGAGCCAGCTGAGACAGAGTTCTTCAAGTGCTGGAAGGACATTTAGGAAGAAATGAACCAACCAGGTCCCAGAGAAAGACATAAATTAACCTTCAGGGGTAGTTTGCTACAGTACTTTGATGGGTTCTGGCAATAAAAAATCAAGTCCTCTCCTAAAGTATTCCCTGAAAACTTGAGATTTTTATGTAACTACTTGCTTTAATATAGCCCAAATTAGCTGATTTTTAGCCAGTTAGAGACTGTCTGGTTTTTCAAAATATTTTTTTTTACTTGTAGGTAGACACAATTCTTTATTTTTATTTATTTATTTTTATGTGGTTCTGAGGATGGAATCCAGTGCCTCACTCATGCTAGGCGAGTGATGTACTACTGAGCCACAACCCAGCCCCGAGACTGTCTGTTTTTATAAATTGCAAAACTGTACCCAACATCTCCTAGGCAAAGCTAAGATAACTCTGGGGCTCTGAAGTTCTCAAACCAGTTACCCTTCAGAGCTGTCTTATCCAGAGACTCCCCATCATGTTGCTGAGCAACATCACCACGACATGCAAGCTCACTCTGATCCCTGGCAGTTCTCCTGCTCTCCTGCTCTTCCAAGTAGTGAGACCTTGTCCTTATCTCTGGAAGGGCTTATCCTGTGAGGACTTTATCTTTATATGCTATCCTTTTGAAGTGCTTCCCTGTAAGCTGATTGTATGCTTCTGCCATGTCAGAGTCGTATATTTTCCCTTGATCAGTTTCAAACTTCTCGAACTCACTGCAATATTTTTGTATGAAAATGTATAAAATCAGATTGAAAATAATGAATTCACGCATCTATGATTTTGTCAAAATGAACCCAACCATTATGTTATAAATACAATGCATGAATAAAAGAAAAAGAAATAAAACATGCATATTGTTAAATATAGTCATTGTTGTGAATGGGTCTGAATTTAGGAGAAACTTTTAAAATAGGAGTTATGTTTTCTCTATAGTTTTAGAATTTTTTAAGAAGAATATATGCATGGTTACTTATGTACTTAAAAGTACTAACAACAGAAATAGCAGCTGGGTATTGGTCAGCAAAAATAACTGGTAGTTGATGCAACAGATGAACCTGAAAGTTACTATTTGTGCACATAAATTTTTGATAGTGTGTAAAAGGCTCTCTGCTCTTAGCACACTGATTTTCCAGGTACTTTCTATTTTGGAGTTCCATATTCTTAACCCAGGGTTGCTGCTGAATTAAAATGAAAGCATAGGAATGGTGTACTGGCTATGGCTATAAACAACCAATTCTTTTGCTTCTATTTCACAACAAATGTACTGACAAGGTAGTGCCTCCATATTCCATAAAGGATAGGAGGACTTCTTTTAGTGTGTTGGCTTCCCTCAGGGTCCTTTTTGTCACCATACAGACATAATACAGTGCTGAGAATATAAATGAATTTTTAGTCATATGGTCAGCCTCAGGCTAGGAGCCATGGGTAAAGCATGGGATTCAGATGAATTTAGACCAGTAGTCTTTTCCCAGCCCTGTCACTAGCCAGTGATCCTATGAAAGTCTCCAGTCAGTCAGACTTCAGGTATTCAGCTGCCAAATGAGAATGATAATATCTATCCAGTAGGGTCTGTTGTACCTGGGTACAGTATGTAAAGCACCTGGTGTGGTGCACGGCCCATAATGGAACTGTAGTGAGTGGCAAATGGCTCTTATTTCTGGTAGTATTTGATCCCAACCTCTATGACTCTGGGATGCTGTTTGTATTGTCATTGTTCACTAGAAACATTAGAGATTATGAAGCTCAATAAGATCTGGAATAACAAATTAGTATGTTTGTCTGGTTTGAGTGTGTCCTTCAAGGGTTCATACATTGCAAGCATAGATCCCCATGTGGCAATATTAAAGGTTGGTGAAACTTTGAAGAGGTGCAGCCTAGTGGAATGTCCTTGGGTCTTTGAAGCATTGACCTCAAAGGGATTAAGGTAGTTAACATGAGAATATAAGTTATTTCTGTGACAATGAGTTGTTATAAAAGAGTGTCTGCCCTCTCTCTCTGGCTTCTTATCTTATGACATGATCTCCCTCGTACATTCACTCTCACCATTGTAATGCCACCTTTCAAGAGTCCTCACCAGAGCCAGCATCTTGCTCTTGAACCTCCAGAACTGTGAGATAAATAAATGTTTTCTTTATAAAGTATCCAGCCTAATTTTCAGTTTAATGGATGGAGATGGAGAATATTATGCTAAGTAAGCCAATCCCCCAAAAACAAAAGCCAAATATTTTCTCTAATATGAGGATGCTGACTCATATTGGGGATGGGGGGAGCATGGGAGCAATGGAGGAACTCTATATAGGGTAAAGGGGAGAGAGGGGAGGGAGGGGAAGGGAGCGGCCATGGGGGTAGGAAAGATGGTGGAATGAGATGGGCATCATTACCCTAAGTACATGTATGAAGACATGAATGGTGTGACTCTGCTTTGTGTACAACCAGAATTGAATTTAATTGTACTATCATATGTAACAAATTAAAATAAATAAATAATTTAAATTTAAAAAAGAAAAAAAAAATAAAGTATCCAACCTAAGATATTTCTTTACTGCAGTAGAAAAGACTTATATATCACCTTTAAAATACTATTTTGTGGGTGGGACTGTAGCTCAGTGGCAGAGTGCTTGCCTAGCATGCATGAAGCACTGGGTTCAATCCTCGGCATCACATAAAAATAAACAAATTAAATAAAGGCTTTCTGTCCACAACAACTATAAAAAATTTAAAAAGAATTTGAAATAAAATACTGTTTTGCTAATAAAGCTCAATAAATCATTCTTTTCAGAGTATCTATTATTTAACATAGTTGTGGGAGAGTCATACCCACTTGAATAAACCTCAAAGCATCTGTGCTGTGAAGCACTGACTAGATTTCTGGTGTGAAGTAGGGGTACAGGTTTAAACACTTCGTCCTATTCATTCTGCCATTTGCTATTGATGTGGCCTATAGACCCTCCCCAACTTTCCTGCTGTCATTACTTCCCTGCTCCAAACACAAGTACCAGATCAACACACTCTTCTGTCTCCAACAGATTTTCATGTTCTAATTTTTAGATTTTGTTATTCATATTCTTTGTTTTATTAAATTTAAT